CTGATGGTGTATACGCAGTTGTGAATTATTGATGGTGTATACGCAGTTGTGAATTATTGATGGTGTATACACAGTTGTGTGTTACTGATGGTGTATACGCAGTTGTGAATTATTGATGGTGTGTACACAGTTGTGAATTATTGATGGTGTATTCGCAGTTGTGTGTTGCTGATGGTGTATACACAGTTGTGAATTATTGATGGTGTATACGCAGTTGTGAATTATTGATGGTGTATACGCAGTTGTGAATTACTGATGGTGTATACGCAGTTGAACCTCAACATAAAGATTCTTCGGTAAAGTTTGGTAGAGGGCATTCCGAATGAGTATAGATGTTTTATACTATTCTTGTCCGTGTGTGTCAGGGAATTAAGTTACAAGGTGGTAACAGCAGAGGAAAAGTTTCACAGTAGGCAGAGAGAAAACAAGCCCTCAGCTTTGTATCCAGGAGCCTCTTTGCTGGGCTGTGGTAGGCTTTGAGAGAGGAGGAGACGCTGAGAAGCCTCATGATGGAGGCTCTGGAACAGTGAACGTGATGAGCCTTTCTATGAGGTATAAATGTTAGCCGTTGATCTGGCTGGCTGAAGTGTAAATGTTTTGTTCCCTCTTCTTCTTCAGATGGCTGCATATTTTGGATTTTCTGTAGCTGCCACTGACATTAATGGGGATGAGTAAGTTTTAAAAAAATGTTTCCAGAAACTGTTTTTCTCTGTGTTTATAAGTGTTTGACTGAAACTAAACAGTATTTCTTCTGTTTCTTTGTCTCCTTCCTGTTAATCTCCTCTTACTCTAAAAAAGCAATTTGACGCTCCCTAGTCATGAATATGAGAAAGCCTCTCAGTTGGTTCTAAGTTTTAAAATAGCTCTAACACAGTGGTTCTCAATCTTCCTAACACGCGACACTTTAAAACTCCTAATGTTGTGGTGGCCCCCAACCGTAAAATCATTTCGCTGCTGCCTAGTCACTGTAATTTTGCTGCTGTTCCGAGTTGTAAGCGTCTGATATTCAGGGCATCTGATGTTTGACCCAAGACCCTTAGGCAGAGAACCACGCCTCAAACCATGGCGCTGTAACTGTATGAAAGCCCCGCCATTGAGCCACGAAGCCGCGAGAGGCTTAAAAGGGGAGGGGAGAGTGAAGGAAAAGGAGTTTTAGTAAGAATGTACTGATGTGGGGCTGGAAAGAGCGCTCCGTGCACCAGGCACACATGGTACACAGCATACATGCAGGCAAGACACTCACCCACTGTGCTGATGGCGCCTTTAATCCCAGTAGAGGCAGGGGGTCTCTGTGAGTTCGAGGCCAGCCTGGTCCACAGAGTTCCAGGACAGCCAGGGCCGCACAGAAAAATCCTGTCTCAAAAAAACCAAACCAACCAACCAACCAAACAAACCAAAATGTACCCACACACATAAAATAGAAATTGAGAGAAATGCTGACTGTGAGGTGGAGTGTGATTTTGTGCGAGGACGCTCTCTTCTCTCAGTTATGCAGATGTGTTCATTGGAGCTCCTCTGTTCATGGACCGAGGCTCTGATGGAAAACTCCAAGAGGTGGGCCAGGTCTCGGTGTGCCTGCAGAGAGCATCAGGAGACTTCCAGACCACGAAGCTGAATGGATTTGAGGTTTTCGCCAGGTTTGGAAGTGCTATAGCTCCTCTGGGAGACCTGGACCAGGATGGCTTTAATGGTAAGATCCAAGTGACTTTCTGAGTCACCTGAAAAAGTTCCCAAATCTCCACCTGTAGACACGCTTGTGAGCGGACCTCCTGCCTGAGGAGAGCACATCACTGACACCATATTTAAAAACAAGTTGCTTCCCCCACCTCAAAAATGAGCAAAAGATTTCAAAATTTGGCTGTTGTGAGCTACAATGTCAGATGATCAACTTTGGAAAGGAGGCCTCATTCCCAGGGAGCCCTCTGCAGCCTGCTGCCTGCCAGCGCCCTCTACTGTCTGTCTGGCTCCAAGTGAAAAATAGCTCCAGGAATGAGATTCCACTAAGGTTTTTATAGTCAGAGCTTTATGGTGCTATGAAATCCTGGAAAGGTTGTATGTCTTGTCGTGGGGACCTGTAAAGGGTGTCAGTTAGAGTAGTCCCATTTCAACGGTGCAGGCGCCTTTAAAAACAAAAGTTGGCTTTCACGTCACAGCTCTTTTCCAAAGCCTGAAACACAGATTAAAAGTTAGATACATAAAATATAGTTTACAAGGATTTTTGTAGAAGAATAGTAAGGAGAGAATAATTGTTCGTTTGTTTGCATAATCAGCAATATATTTGGGTATCCCCCCCCCAATATAGAAAGTTATTAAGGAGAAAATTTTAGAAATTCGATAGTACAGATGACTGGCTGTGGAGTGAAAAAGAAAAGGCTGCCTCTCCTGCCTTGTGGATGGTTGTATGTCACACACCAACCTGAATGACCACAGAGGAGTTCAGATTTAGTGAACAACCAGCCTAACGTATATTTTGCGTCCTAAAATAGTCTTAAATTTTTTTTTTTTAATCATAAAAGAACTTAAAGCTCATGACAAGTTATGGAATGACCACTGTAGGTCAGGTCAGATCATTACTTATGGGTGATAAAAACCATGAGATAAGAAAGAAAACTGTATTTGATTTTCTACCTTGTGTAAAATTAAGGGCCCCCTTGCGTTGTGGCTGGGCTCTGTCTCCGGGCTTCCTGGAACAGCTAAGACATGCTGTAGCTTTGTCCCAGAGGTTATTCCAGTGGTCTTCACTTTTCATATTTTTATGATGTTCTTTGACAATACCATGCCTAAGGAACAGCAAAAATCTTTGAAGTTTTGTAAATTTTGTTTGTATTTTCTTTGTTTGGTTGTTTTTTTTTTTGAGACAAGGTTTCACCTTGGCTGTCCTGGACTCACTTTGTAGACCAGGCTGGCATCAAATTCACAGAGATCCACCTGCCTCTGCCTCTTGAGTGCTGGGATTTAAAAGGACTGTTTATATAATGCAAGTACATATTTTTTAAAGTGGCATTTTTAGGGCTTGTTGCATATTTATAAAGAGTGAGTTCCTTAGGGCTTGCGGACAGCAGGTAGTCTCCTAGGTGCTGAAAATCAGAGGCTTCTAACCACAGCCGGCTGTGGTGGTGCACACCCTTAGATCAAGTCCTCTGGAGGCAGAGGTAAGCATCTCTATGAGTTTGAGGCCAGTCTGCTTTTCCTAGTGTGTTCCAGGCCAGCCAAGGCTACGTAGTGAGGTCCTGTCTCAAGTGAAACAAAGCGGGTGATCACCTGTGACCTCGTCAGCCAGGCGATGGTGGCACACCTTTAATCGTAGTGCTTGAGAGGCACAGGGAACTGCACACAGAGAAACGCATTCTCCAGGAAAACAACAACCAACGAAAAAGGGTAGTCACCGACACACATTTCTAAGGAACTCGGCGTGCAATAGAGTGTATAAATGCAGGATATACCTCCGTGGTATTTGAGGTATTCCCGGCTGTGGTGGTCTCACAGATAGGATGGGCAGTCCGTGCATGTTTGGCCACTGAGGAGGCAGAGGTGGTTTAATAAGGACATTGAAGCAATTTGGTACCAAGTGGCCAGTATAAGCCAAAGAGACATCCATGTCTCTTCAGGCTGGCAGCATCTCAGAGAGGAGAAATTGGTATGTTATGTTATGTTATGTTATGTTATGTTATGTTATGTTATGTTATGTTATGTTATGTTATGTTATGTTATACTATATTACATTAATTTATTTTTAAGGTAGGAATGGTCACTATTACCATATAGTATCATTTAGAGTTATTTTAAAGAATTAAAATTTTAATGTTTTATGTTGTTTCAGTATAAAAGAGCAAGACTAAGCCAGAGCTTTGAGATTTATGAGCTAGATTTTAATTTGTAAGATGAAACTTATGAATGAACTAGAAGGAGGAGTCAGAATGAACTGTGTTTGCATGAGTCCTTACCCTCATCTGCAATTTAAGGTGAAGCGCGTTAGGTCCAGAAAGCTGATGTCTCTTGTCCAAGGTGTGGCCCAGAGCATCTGCCTCCACATGTCATTTTTGCAGTTTTTCTTGAATTAGAATTTGTTTCCTGTCTTGAGACTCTCACTCTGTGGCCCAGGCTGACCTTGAACTCAGCATCCTCCTGTGTTAGTCTCTTGAGTGCTGGGATTGCAGGTGTGTGCTGCCATGCCAGCCTAGACTGTGACTCTGCCAGAAGGGTTGTATGAGTAACATTAGTGCCGAGAACCTTCCGGCCGTCCAGACCCACCTTCCTCATCCGTTCTTCTCTTGCTCACCTTCTCGCAGATATCGCAATTGCTGCTCCCTATGGCGGCACAGATAAGAAGGGGCTGGTTTACATCTTCAATGGACGGTCAACAGGCTTGAACTCGGTGCCATCTCAGATCCTTGAGGGCCAGTGGGCTGCTCAGGGCATGCCTCCAAGCTTCGGCTACTCAATGAAGGGAGCTACAGATGTAGACAGAAATGGATATCCAGGTACTTCTCTACAGACACACGTGGCTCTAGGCATTCTCAGCCCCCACAGAGTTAGTTTTTCTTTTCTTGCCCACCCTTCTGTTAAACGGTTCAGTACTGGTGCAGACTCTGCCATCATCACTAACAGGAAGGAAGAGGAAGAGCACCTCATTTGATGAGAGTGTACAGTACGAAACACACAGTCTCATTCGTTGCATTAAAGCTTATAATAAAGTATCAGAAAAAAAGTACAGAAGCCACCAACAAAAGCCAAATGTACATCCCAAGTTTTTAAAATGGCATCCATTGCTTTTTAACAAGCTGGTATTTTTAAATGCTGGTGCAGTCATTGGTGTGTGTGAGTGTGTGTGTGAGTGTGAGTGTGTGTGTGTGTGTATGAGTGTGAGTGTGTGTGCATGCATGTATGCACTGCATGTACCTGCCTGTGGAGGCCAGAGGTTACGTCTAGTGTCTCCCTCTGTCACTTTATAGCTTAGACTGGGCCATCCCTGGAGCTCGTAGATTCGGCTTGAGCTGGTTGAGCGAGCTCCAGGGATCTCCCTTCTCTCCCGCTAGCACCATCTCTGGCGTGGCGCGGGAGGACACAAACTCCGCCCACTTTGTGCACTTCACTCACAGAGCAGTCTGCCTTGCCTGGACCAGTCACTCTGTCTTAAAAACGATGCGAAACAAAACGAAACAAAATCCCATCTCACTGAAATTTCCCAGTAACAGTGTGTGGAATGGAGGTTAAATGGGGTCCCGATACGGCCACCTGGGGATGTGAAAAGTGACTGAAAGTAGCGGTGACTCACCCACTGCATTAATCTGCTTAGAGCCCGTCGCCGAGACTCTCACACCCCGTGAGCATTATAGTGGATCCTTTCTGTACATGACGTGAAATTTAGGAAAACCCGTGTGATTTGTTGTTGGAATAGCCAGTCTGGGTTCTGGCTAAGCGTGGTGACAAGCTTTAGAAATAAGACGGGAAGCTTGGCTGAGCCGGTGTTACTTCAGGACTCAGCTGTGCGCATGATATGTGCATTACAGAGCTTACTGTAACAAAACCTTCCTCCCACTTCCCCCGGTGCATTTCTGCTCTGTTCGTGTGAGGCAGGGTTTTGCTGTGTAGCCCTCCTCCCCTCGGCTTTTGAGTAGCTGTGGTTACAGGTGTGCGGCACTGTGCCGAGCTCATTCACTCATTTATATGCATGCGCACATATGAATATGCATGCATGTTACATGCATATGTAAAACATACAGTGCAGGGGGTTATTCTATGTGTGTGGGTGCTTTACCTGCATGTATGTCTGTGCATCAGGTGCTCAGGGCCTGCAGGAGCCGGAAGAGCGTGTCAGGGCCTCACTGTAGTTACAGACAATTGAGCGTCACCATGTGTGTTGGATTTGAGCCTGGGTCTTCGGGAGGAGCAGCCAGTGCTCTCAGCTACCTCTGGAGATACCTCTCCAGTGTCATACATGCATGTGTGTGTGTTTGTATTGTGCGTGTGTCAGATAGAGATATCTATTTTTAATTTAACAAAATGGCATCAGGCTTTGTAAGCACTGTAGACAGCATTGTGTATTTTATTCCCTTAAGATATCAGAAAGATTCATTATTTTAGAACATGAATTCCATGTTCGCCGTTCCAACAAGTGACTGTGTCATCCCTTATTTTACCTTATAATCTGTAATTTATATCTATATGTTTAATTTTGTTGTATGTCTGTGTGTGTGCGTGCGTGGCTCTGAGCGCACGAGCAGGTTAGAGAATGCGTGTTTGGTTCTCGCCTTTCCACCTTGTTTGAAACAAGCTCCGTATGCTGCTGCATAGCTTGGCCTGGTGGCCTCGAGAAATCCTTCTTCTAGGGCATGCTGGGATTGTAAACACGTGTGCCCAGTGCTCCAGCACCAAGGCGTCTCTCAGCCCAAACATTTTCTTGTTTACCTGGATGAGAGTCTTAACTGACCATGAGAGTTTATTCACTATTTTGAAGTAGTTTTGCCTTGTGCATATTATCTTAAAGCCCAGGAGAACTAAGCATGTCATAGAATAATGTATATTTTTTTAAAAATATTTTTATTGTTAACTTGTTTTTCTCTCTCTCAAGATTTGGTTGTAGGAGCTTTTGGTGTCGATCGAGCTGTCTTATACAGGTATGTTCCACGATCTTTAATATAGAAGTATTCTGAATTATATGATTTTTTTTAAGTTAACTACTCATTTGAATTTCAGTTCAATTGTCTTGAAGTAGTGATAAAATTATTTGTTCTATTCAAGGTTTGCTGCAAATAGTATATTTTCAAGAAACCCTCAAAGAACAGAGAGCTATGTTTTTTTCTTAAAAATATTTTTAAAAATTATTCAGAATTTTCCCTCATTGTTCTCCTGCATTTTAGTCTCTCTTCAGAAATGTATGAGTAGTACATTTTTCTGTGTTTGTCTTGTGTACATAAAACACCAGGCTCTATCCCTAGACCCCCACAAGAATGAATATAAGATGACAGAGGCTTACATTTTTCTAGAAGAAAAAGCTAGTACTTGTGCCTCAGTGTTCTGTGGCTGTAAAGGAGCTGTGTCACTGCGATCCACCAGCTTCGCCAGCCACAGAGAATGTAAACATGGGCTTCTAGGGAAGACCTGGCCCCGTTGTTGTTTGTTTGTTTGTTTTGTTGTTGTTTTTCTTAATATAAAACTTAGGGTTGTGCACGTGAATTTTGCAAAACTGTATTTACCAGCTGACTATCCATTATCTGAAGTGCTTGAGACCAGGAGTGTTCCAGATTTTGGAGTTTTATGGGTTTTCAGGTATTTGCAGAGACTGACCAGTCAAGCATTTCTAGCATAAAAAGTCAAAACTTGAAACAGTCCAAAATCCTTTTCAGGCCTCTTGTTGGTACTCAGAAGTTTTGCTTTGAGAGTCCATAGCATTTCACTTTGAATTTTCAGAATATAGAAATACTCAGTGTATGTCTTAGTTTAAAAATTATTGTTAATAAACACTTGCAGGAGGTAAATTTCCAAGCGATTTAAAGGCAAACCTGGGCTGGAGAGACGGCTCAGCCTTTAAGAATACAGCTAGTAGTGTGTACTGCTCACACAGAAGACCCAGGTTCTGTTCCCAGCACCCACGTCAGGCAGCTCAGATGGCCTGAAAGTCCATCTCCATGGGGTCTGATGTCCTCTCCTGTCACCCCCTCCTCCCAAACACATATCTAAAGCAGTAGAAACAAACATTTAAAAAGCACACACGTAGCCGTGTGTGTGCCGTACTGTGGATATTCTCTTTTAAGAAGTCTGCCTTTATCTGTAGGCCTTCTCTCGGCACTGCAGAGCTTCCCTCTCCTGTTCATGGGGCTCCACGCCTCTCATATCCCTCGCTGTGTCCTTCTAATTGGCGGATGCCATACAGCTCCTAACAGTTGCACTTTGCTGTGCTGAATTCAGATAGGCCGACCAATTGTCTTCCTTGCCTGGAATTGAGCGGTTGCCAAGATGCAGGACTGAGTTAGGTTAGTTGTGGGTGAAATGAGATGGTCGGCCATCTTGTGTTTACGTTTAGGGTACTACAATGGCTGTTGCTGCTACCAACAGCAACGGTCATTGAACTACATCTGTGGTGAGTGAGAATTTAATCAAACTGTTTAAATTCTCTCTTTTTCCTCCCCCCCCTTCATTTTAAAACTTAAAACCAGAGCCAGACCCGTTGTCA